GCTTCTGCGGCAGCCGGCGGGGCTGTGCTGGTGCGTGGTTTTGTGTGGGGAACGTGTTTTCACAAGGCGTGGGGTGAAACGCCTTGCAAACCAGATAGAAAGGGAGCGTTTCAGCCTTACAGTACGTCTTGTAAAATATTCTGGTAACGTGCTTTCACGGTAACCGCTTGGGAGTCCTGTGTGTTTCCGAGTGACTGAAATACCGTGCAAGTTTGAGAAGTTCGACGCCTGGAAGGTGAAATTCTGCTGCCCATCAATAGTACCGCGTGTATGGTATTCCCAAGTAAAAGTACTCCAAAAACCAAGTTCTGCAGATTTATTTCAGCCGTACATAAAAATGATCAGACCGTCAGTTTTACAAGCTCACATAGCTGACTGGTCATGAGTAGTGCCATTGGTGTCAGTGGCTCTGTGCAGGATCAGAAGCAGCACCAGCTTGTGTGGTAGAGATTACTTGGGGAAGGGACGGTGGGGCTTGGACCACGACTTTGAAGGCATCTGCACGCTTTGCAGTTGAAAACAGCAGCAAGCCAGTGAAGCTGATGGTGGTCGGAGTAGGTGAAATGGTGTAATCAAACGGCATGAGAAGGTTTTGGTCCTGTGTGGTTTGGTCAGTGAATGAAGTACTGCACCATTGACCCACCTTATTACTGAAATGTAGTTGGTTGCTCCTTGTAGCGCGTTCAACAGCTAGGTAAACCTTTAATAGAATGCTCAACGATTTTTCTCATTTCTTTTTCATCACAGATTTGTATGATTGCTCATGTAACTGCCAGAAAAATGCCAACCCTTCACCGACATGAAGAAGAGAAATTCTTCATAAATGCTGAAGGCAGGAGAGAATCTGTACCAAGTATACATGATCCCCCTACAAGGGAACTGTCTGTTGTTGTGCCTTCATACAATGAGGAAGACCGGTGTAAGATTTTTCTTGTTTTGAGAAAAAGAAGAAAATCTATCTGTTGTTGCTCTAATAATGCAGAGGTCAGTTTATGTTAGCAGTAGATTCTGGCAGGCCAGATTACGTATGTGACTTTGGACATAGTTTCCAGAAAACAGTCCAAGTACATTGAATTTCAAAATTAAGATGCTGTGTAGCTTGATTTCTGCTGCTAAAAATAGCATGGGGCACTCGTAAGAATCCTCTTTGTTTTAATGAAGTCCAGCAGAATGGCTGCTCATTGCCCCTGTAAATGCTTTAAGGCAAGAAGTAGAAAAAGACTTTTAAAATTGATTTGAGAGCTTCCCACTCTGTAAGCAACAGCAGCAGCTTCAGACAAGCAGAAAAAAGGATAATCTCATGGGTTTCTGTTTGACTTGGCCATATGTATGAGTACTCAGTACTAAAAAAGTGAAGGCTTTCACGTGCAGTAGAAATAATCAAGCTCTAAAGCTGTACTTGGGGTTGACATGGTAGCACAAATTGTTATTCCTTTCCTTGGTGAGTGAAAATACTGAGCTGTTTGGGATTCCATTAAGAGAGATATTGACAAATAGAGTGTATCTGGACACAAGGTAAGCCTGGCCTTTTCTCAAGTCCAGTGCATTCCTCGGACCTGGTTCTTAGACACTTGTTTTCAGTAAGCAAGGTCTGAATATGCTTCATGTGATTTTCATTTAGTTGTCTCTCTCTTTGGAGGTAGCATAATCACCTGAGATGTGCTTAGGAATGAACACATGCTGCAAAGACAGCCATGAAGTTCAATGTCTTTCTAACCTGCAGATAAATCAGCTGTAAAAGTAGTGCCTGTTCGTTGGCTGAAGCATCGTGGCCAGCAGCCTTAGTAAGAGGAGGCATGTTACTGACTAGTGTTGGAGATTTCTCTTGTTGCCTTCTCTGTCAGCTTGCTTAAACAGATAAAGTCAGTGCTGGTTTGCAGGGTCAAATGAATGATTATTTTTTTTTCCCTTTAATATTGTGTAGAGAATTACATATTTCAAAATGGAAAGTTAGTTCTTATCTTCAGAATAAATGTTTTTATCCTGTCTTGCATGTGTGATTTTCTTCAGTGCTCTTTTTGCGTTCAGAAAGGACAGGACTTAAGAGTTGCAGGTGCTAAGCTTGTTTACTGAAGGTAGTGTTGTGTGAAAGAGGCAATTTGCTGAGCTTTGCAGTTGTTTTCAGCTTGCTTGTGCAGGTGCTTTTTGGTGCTTTGCCTGTTACAATCTACTAACCTGACCTCCTCCTTTTCTCTAGTGCCTCTTATGATGGATGAAGCTTTGGATTATCTAGAAAAAAGACAGGTATTTTCATTTTGTGTCCAAAAGTCATTCTTTTTCTATGTATTATGTATAATAAGTCAGTGATCTATTCACTTTGTTATTTTGGTGTATGTTAAAACAGTATTACTTAGCCACTTAGAAGTAATGCTTCTGTCTCATGTCAGTTATTTTTAGATTGAGTGCCGGAAAGTATTTTTTAAATTAAGTAAAAAATTAATACTATATGATTAAAAGAAAAACCTTTGTATGCATGATAGGTCTCCAAGATAGACATTAAGGATTAACCATACATTTAATTTTCTAAACTAAATCCTAGTTTGTTCCAATGAGTTTCTTAAGCACCTCTTCTTCATTAGGATTTGTTCTCTGTGTAAAAAGCCCATTGTGAAGGTTTGTGGATCTTGTTTTGTTTGGGTTTTCTTAACAGTGGTGTTCTGAGCTTTCGTCTTTTACAACTAAATTAATTTTTCAGTTCTAGATGGTAGCTGAGGAAAACTGTGACAAGTCAATGTAATGGAACACACATCAAATATTGCAAAAATTTTTAATTATGCCATCTTAACAAATACTACGTCATATTGGTGTCTATTGGCAGCCATGAATGAGTTTAAAACTGCTAGGGAGAAAAGAATGCTGATGTTTGAAAGACCTACTACCTACTTAAGAAATTGAATGAAATGCATTATTTCTATTTTTATTTTCAAGAAACGAGATCCTTCTTTCACTTACGAAGTAATAGTGGTTGATGATGGTAGTAAAGATCAAACGACGAAGGTAAGAAAAGTGTCTCACCAAGTAATCAGAGGTATGGATTTTTGTACTGCATTTGTGGAATACAACAATATTTTGCATTTATATTTTGGTACTTGAAGTAGTTGACAATTAAAATTCTTGTTTCTGAATACTTTCTGTCATTGTCTTATATGCATTGTGGATATCATGTACACACATGCATACACATATAATTGTTTTGCAAATACTAGTAATCTTGATTGATGGCTGTGACAGCCATTTTTCGTGCAGTTGAGATACTAAAAATTCTAATCTTAACTTCAAGAAATTTCTTATGAAATATTTTACATGTCCATAGTGATGTGAACACGAACTTGAGGAAACTAAAAAGACTTTTAAAATAGCTGATTTATATTGGGATTGACATGTTGTACAGCTTTTTCCCATGGCCTTCATGGCATTGTTCATTTAAAAATGCCCATGCCAGTAGTAATATTTTCAAAATAGTTCTACATTCTTCTGCTTCAGCTTTGATGTATCTCACTGGAAAGGAAGGCTGGTCAACTTGAGGGCTTTTTTTACTGCTGCTTGTAAGATGTTTGAGTTGGCTACTAAAATAAATGTTGCTTTTTCACTTCCTTCCCTTAAACTTGTCCATTAAGGATTGCTCGTATTTATTTTTTGACTGCTTTGCACTCCTTTAGCATAATTTCTAAGTAAGCACACTATGGCCACGGGCCTCTGGACTTACAAGGACTTGAGACAACCTTTAGAAAAAATTCATGCTTTCTCTTCCCCGCAACATGGAACAAAATATGCACATACCTGCAGTGTGAATGGGATTTTAGATCACTATGAAGTTTTATTTAAAATCACAGGTAGCAGCAAGACAAGTCAGAAGTAGGTAGCAGTAGTAGAAATTTATTTTTTTTTATTAACTATTGGTGTTGGTATAAAAGTTCTGTAATAGTATGATATAAATTATATTAGTATTAAGATTTTTGAACTTGGGTGAATGGCGTTTAGAATTGCTTGGGGGAGTATCCTGTTCTTGTTGAACATGACTGGTTTCTTCAGTCTTCTTGTGTTGACTGTGAACTGGTTTTTATTTTCCCAAACAGACTCCAGCAAACACTGGCAATGTATTTCTGCAGACTGAAGTGGTTGTAGCTCTGTGCTATTAAATTTTTTTTAAAAAAAGGGTGAGCAAATGTAAACTTCTACTTTGATTCCTGTTTTTGTTTTATGCTGGTTTTTTGTGTGTCTATCAGGTTGCAATGAAGTACAGCAAGAAATATGGAAGCGACAAAGTGCGAGTGCTTTCTTTGGTAAAAAATCGAGGGAAAGGAGGAGCAGTCAGGATGGTAATTGATACTTTCATCTCCTTCTCTGTCTGAACTACCTGTGCCCAAAAATGTAGAAGATAGAGCTGTGCTGATTGACATTTTGAATTCAATACATTAACAAACTGATTATCAGAAAACTGAGTTCTATGAACTTATTTTACATCTTGGAAACAGTATTTTCTTGCCAGGAAGATCAATAACAAAGAAATTTTTTATATGAGAATTCAAAAGGAAAAAAGAAAAGTTAGACTTGAATTTCATGTTGCTGTTAGTTCCACTTAGAAATAGGCTTGTGTTTAAAAAAAAAAAAAACCACCAAAAAAAACCCCAACCCTTTACAGATTAAAGTAAAGCTTTTGCAGAGAAAATACAGCTAAATTTGCAAACGTTACTTGCCAGGACATAGTTGTGGTTTTAAAAATGAACAAACACTCTCATCCAGTAAAGTTTGTGTTTACTGAAGCCCACTGCTATCACCTGCACTTGCTAGTAGAACCAGCACAATTTAGGCTTTCACATATTAATTTTCACATAGATATTATCATAAAATCATCATGTTCTAAAAATAAAATAGCTGTTGCATGTTTAGAAGGAACATTTTTTCCTAAGATGAATAACACCTTACTTTTATGAAAAAAGGTGCTGTCATTTATGGATTATCAGTGACTGTCTTTATCTGTATTTTAAGCTCTATCTTTAATATTTATTTCATTTTTTAATGAAACATAGGTAACTATAGCAAATGGAAAGAACATTAAATTAGAATGTATGGAGCTTTTGTAAGGGATATAATTTTGAAGTTACTCCAAGAGAAGGAGAACAATTCTCTGTGTGATATATTTTTGCACTGCAGAGTGTAGAGTGGATGTATATACTTGTACTTCCTTGACAGGTTTTTCGAAAGTCACACGTACTTGGTTACGACAGTACTTTCGGCAAACCCACTGCTAATTGTTTTCCTGTCTGGACCCCTTTAAAAATTGTCAGATATGTCTGACCAAGAATATGGCAAAACAAGCTGTGAGACCTGTGCGTCACAAGTGTTTTGCAGTGATACTGTGACTTAAGACTTACTTGTCAAAACTAATTTAAGATTATCTCTTGGATTCTCTTGAAACAGTGTTAGGAAAAACTGCATCCTCCTTTCCATAGCTCAAATGACAAAGAAAAGCTATCCAGTGCAGTGGCAGCTGCTAATCGCTGCTTCTTTGTGCTCCCCTGTATAGCTGACTGTAGCAACTTGTCTCGGGATTTTGTTTTGTAAAGCTTTTAGTTCAAGCTTCTGTGGAAGAGGGATTGTTAACCTTTCGTGTTCATGCATTGTCTGTCACTATGGGACACTACTCAGTGTGTGAAGTCTCTAGATGTTATTACAATATAAATTGATAAATTGTTATTAGTAGCAGAGTATTAAGACTTACCTGTTGCATCAAATCTTTGAGATACCACTGTTCTTGTTACTACATTAGGTTTTGGAGTGTCTTGCAGCTAACTTAAGACAAATACTGATTACAAAGATGTTGATTTTTATTGACTATTTTGATTGCAGGGTGTCTTTAGTTCTCGGGGAAAAAAAATTCTTATGGCTGATGCAGATGGAGCTACAAAATTTGAAGATATTGAAAAAGTAGAAGAAGGTTTAAAAAATCTTCAGCCATGGCCTGTGAGTATAAATTCTCATAGTTTAGCTTAATACACATGCATACAGATTGATTTTTATAATTATTTTCAACTTGAGCTTTTTGAGATCTGGTTGAAGATTGCCAAAGGTCACCAAGGCTAGCAGTTTCAGTTTTGATTATGGATCCATTTGGTTATGGATCAGTTTACATGACACCAGGCCTGCTGGCAACAGATGGGGTACACCTGTCTCAAAGGGGGAAAAGGATCTTTGCACAGGAGTTGGCAGGGCACATTGAAATAGCTTTAAACTAAATTTGAAGGGAGAAAGGGATATAACCAGGCTCATTAGAGATAAGCCTGGGGTCAGCACACCAATGTTTGAGGAAGATGCGCTAGCAGGATCCTTCAGTCTGCCATCTCAATGGAGGTAGGGAATGGAGAGCCACGTGGCAGCAAAGACACAACAGTTATTGGTGGGTTAGAAACAACGGAAGCGCCTGAGAATGGTCACGTAGGAATTAAGACTTCTTCCCTCATAAGGCTCATTAGAGATAAGCCTGGGGTCAGCACACCAATGTTTGAGGAAGATGCGCTAGCAGGATCCTTCAGTCTGCCATCTCAATGGAGGTAGGGAATGGAGAGCCACGTGGCAGCAAAGACACAACAGTTATTGGTGGGTTAGAAACAACGGAAGCGCCTGAGAATGGTCACGTAGGAATTAAGACTTCTTCCCTCATAAAGTTGGAGGGGAATGGAGAGCCATGTGGCAGCAAAGACACAACGGTTATTGGCGGGTTAGAAGCAACGGAAGCGCCTGAGAATGGTCACGCAGGAATTAAGGCTTCTTCCCTCATGAAGTTGGAGGGATCAATAGCCCAACTGAAGTGCATCTATGCTAATGCACACAGCATGGGCAACACACAGGAGGAACTGAAAGCCATTGTGCATGAGGAAAACTATGACATAGTTGCCATCACGGAAACATGGTGGGATGACTCGCACAACTGGAGTGCTGCGATGGATGGCTATAACTCTTCAGAAGGGATAGGCAAGGAAGGAGAGGCAGGGGGGTAGCCGAGTAAGGTAGGATGGTCTAGAGCTTAATGATGGTGACGATAGGGTTGGGTGTTTATGGTTAAGAATCAAGGGGAAGGCCAACAAGGCAGATATCATGGTGGGAGTCTGTTATAGACAACCAAACCAGGATGAAGAGGCAGAAAAAATATTCTATCAGCAGTTGGGAGAATTCTTACGATTGCTAGGCCTTATTCTCATGGGCAACTTCAACATACAAATATCGGCTGGAAATACAATACAGCAGAGAGGAAACAGTCCAGGAGGTTCCTGGACTGTGGGGAAGAGAACTTCCTGACACAGCTGGTGAGGGAGCCAACGAGGGAAGGTGCCCACTGGAGCTGCTGTTTGTGAACAGAGAAGAACCTGTGGGTGATGTGATGGTTGGAGGCTGCCTTGGGCATAGCGATCATGAAATGACATAGTTCTCGATCCTTGGAGAAATAAGGATGAGGGTCAGCAGAACTGTTACCTTCGACTTGTGGAGGGCAGACTTTGGCCTGTTCAGGAGCCTGGCTGACAGAGTCCCTTGGGAGACAGTCCTGAAGGGTTTCAGGAAGGCTGGACATTCCTCAAGAGGAAATCTTAAAGGTGCAGGAGCAGGCTGTCCTCATGTGCTAAAAGATGAGCTGGTGGGGAAGAAGACCAGCCTGGGTGAACAGAGAGCTTTGGCTGGCATTCAGGAAAAAACAGAATTTACGACCTTCGGAAGAAAGGCCAGGCACCTCAGGAAGACTACAAGGATATCA